CGACATAAAGGGAAAAGGTAAGAATATTTTTTGTTGGGGATAGCCAAGTTAGGTATATGGATAGGGCGTTCTGCTTGAAGGACAGGAGTAGGAGACAGAGAGTTTGCTTTCCTGGGGCTGGGATGGAGGATATTGTTAGCCGTCGGATGACATCATGAGAGGTAATGGAGCAATCCTATTATCTGTCTCAGGCTGGAGGCAACGATGTTGGCAGACTAGGAGTGAAGACCTGATTAGCAGGTATAGGTCAGCAATAGAAATAATTAGGAGTAAGGGTGGGAACCTTCTCATATGTGGTATTTTGCCAAGGAGGGGGGTTGGAAATGAATGGTTGTCCAGGGCAATTGGTGTCAATTGCTGGCTGGACAAATACTGTAAAGAAAATGCGGTAACATTCGTTAACAACTGGGACCTCTTCTATGGCAGAAATGACATGTATGCAAGGGATGGGGTTCACTTATCTAGGTGTGGGGTGGCAGCACTGGCAACTGCAGTGGAGGGAGCAGTTAGGACTTTAAACTAGGAATAGTTAGTGGTATGGGTTTTGGCAGAAAAACAGTGAAGTCCCAGTGTAGTAATATTACGAGTTCTAGGGGAACTAGTAATAATAAAAACGAGGTAGATATTGAAAAGCCAGGGACCTTGGGTGATAAGGACAGTAATAGGTTTAGTAGAAAAACAGAAATGAGCAGGAAGGGTAAAGAGAAAGGAGAGTCTTTCAATGTTTGTTATGCTAATTGCCGTAGTGCTAGGAATAAGATGGACGAGTTGAGATTAGTTGCTAAGTGCAGGTAACATTGATGTATTTGCCTTAACTGAGACGTGGTTAATTCAAAAAGTCGGACATGCCTGCGGAATGTCATATTCAGGGTTTTAAATTGTTCCAAGAAGATAGAAGTATTGGGAAGGGGGTGGGTGGCATTGTATGTCCGAGATCGCTTGAACTGTTGCATAAAAACGGGTATTAAATCTGAAGTAACACATACAGAGTCTGTTTGGGATAGAATTTTCAGAGGGCATGAAAAACAATTTTAGGAGTGATATACCGTCCCCCAAACTTAGATAGGACCAAGGGAAACTACTATGGGAGGAAATTGTTAAGGCCACAAGGCACGATAATGTAGTAATTCTATGAGACTTTAACTTTAGTCATGTTGATTGGAAATTCTTGACTGGGAATTTAGAATCATACGACTTCTTAGAAGTATTTCAGGATTGTTTTTTGAAGCAGTTTGTGACAGAACCTACAAGGGGAAATAAAACCCGCTTGACTTAGTTATGGCAAACAATGAATCCCTTGTTAATAATTTAGAAATTTCAGAGGAACTGGGTGCTAGCGACCACAAATCAATTACATTTAGCATTGAATGGAAGTACGATAGTAGCGATAACTCAGTAACAGTCCCAGATTTTCGCTTAGCAGATTACGATGGGCTTAGAGAACACTTATCATCTGTTGACTGGGGTAACGAAGAGAGCTATCAATATGACAGTTTTCTGAACACTATACATGCTGCTCAAAGAGCGTTTATCCCATATAAAGAAATTAGATCAAATAGAAATGACCCAAAATGGATGAATAATAGGCTCAAATATCTACTAGGGCATAAGAAAGGAATTTATAGGCGTATCAGAAGAGGTGAGGGTCATCTTATAAATCAGTATATTGACATTAAGAGGGACATTAAAAAGGGGATAAGAAAAGCTAAAAGGGACTATGAAATTAAAATTGCTAGGGATTCTAAAACTAACCCAAAAAGTTTTTTCCAGGTCTATAGAAAAAAATTAGAGATAAGATAGGTCCCCTTAAAAATAACTATGGGCACCTTACTGACAAAGAGAATGAAATGTGCTTGATTTTAAATAATTATTTTCTCTCAGTTTTTACACAGGAAGACACAAACAATATTCCAGTAATTAATTTTTACAGTGGGCTAGAAGAAGATAAATTATGTAACATCACAGTCACTAGTGAGATGGTTGTGAAGCAGATAGACAGACTGAAGCAAGATAAGTCGCCGGGTCCTGATGAGGTTTTTTCAAGGGTTTTTTAAGGGAAAGCAAAATGGAACTCTGTGAACCATTAACTAATATTTTTAATTTATCTCTTCAAACAGGTGTAGTGTCTGATATGTGGAAGATGGCTAATGTAATTCCTATTTTTAAAACAGAGGACAAGTCGATACCGTCAAATTACCGCCCAATAAGCCTGACCTCAATTGTAGGCAAATTACTAGAGTCAATTATAGCTGAGATTATAAGAAGCCATCTCGATAAGCATAAACCTGATTAATGATACTCAGCATGGATTCACAAGAGGCCGGTCTTGTCTAACTAATTTATTAACTTTCTTCAGTAAAGCTTTTGAGGCTGTTGACCACAATAAAGAATTTGATATTATTTACTTAGATTTTAGTAAGGCTTTTGATAGAGTTCTGCACCATAGAATGTTAAAGAAAGTGGCAGCTCATGGCATTGGGGGAAAAGTGCTCTCGTGGATCGAGTCATGGCTTACTGACAGGAAGCAGAGAGTGTCCATAAATGGGGTTAAATCCGAGTGGGGATCTGTAACAAGTGGCGTTCCACAGGGATCAGTCTTGGGCCCGTTGTTGTTTATAATATATATCAATGATCTTGATGAGGGAATTACTAGTGATATGAGCAAATTCGCCGATGACACAAAGATAGGTAGGATAATTGATTCAAACGTAGATGTTATGGAACTTCAGGAGGATTTAAACAAACTCTATTCTTGGTCAGAAAAGTGGCAGATGCAGTTCAATGTAGATAAATGCAAGGTTCTGAAGCTTGGGAGTGCCCATAACCCTAGTACTTATAAGTTAAATGATGTAGAACTTAGCCATACAGATTGCGAAAAGGACTTGGGGGTTATGGTGAGCAGCAACCTTAAACCAAGACAGCAATGCCTAAGCGTACGTAATAAGGCAAATAGATTACTGGGATTTATATCAAGAAGTGTAAGCAACAGAAGTCCAGAGGTCATACTGCAGCTTTATACATCATTAGTATGGCCTCACCTGGATTATGCAGCTCAGTTCTGGTCTCCGTATTACAAAATGGACATAAATTCGTTAGAAAACATTCAGCATAGGATGACTAAATTAATACATAGCATTAGAAATCTTCCTTATGAAGAAAGATTGAAGAATCTTAAGTTACATTCACTTGTTAGACGAAGAATGAGGGGAGATCTGATCGAAGTGTATAAGTGGAAGATAGGTATTAATAAAGGGGATATTAATAAGGTCTTGAGGATGTCTCTCCAAGAGAGAACCCGCAGTAATGGATTTAAATTAGATAAGTTTAGATTCAGAAAGGACATAGGAAAGTATTGGTTTGGAAATAGGGTAGTTGATGAGTGGAACAGTCTACCTAGTTGGGTTATTGAGGCTGGGACTTTGGATAGTTTCAAATCTAGGTTGGATAAGTACATGAGTGGGAGGGGTTGGATTTGAGTGGGACTTTCACATCAGAGCTTATTTCTTGGGTAGCATTGAACATTGGGTTGGGCAAATGTTTTGTTAGTGGGATGAATTGTAAAGGACCTGCCTAGTATGGGCCAACAGGCCTCCTGCAGTGTTCCTCCTTTCTTATGTTCTTATGTTCTTATGGGTTCAAGGAAACCGGCAGGCCAGACTTGAGTCCTGGAGATGGGAAGTACAGTGCCTGCACTCTGAAGGAGGGGTGTTAATGTTGCAGTTTAAAAACTGTAGAGTAAAGCACCCTTCTGGCAAGACAGTGATGGAGTAAATGATGGTGAAAGTTTTTCTTTTTCGGGCCACCCTGCCTTGGTGGGAATCGGCCAGTGTGATAATAATAAAAATATATATATATATATATATATATATATATATATATATATATATATATATATATATATATATATATATATATTATATATATATATATATATAATATATATATATATATAGGTAGTAGGTTGGTAGACAGCAACCGCCCAGGGAGGTACTACCGTCCTGCCAAGTGAGTGTAAAACGAAAGCCTGTAATTGTTTTACATGATGGTAGGATTGCTGGTGTCCTTTTTTCTGTCTCATGAACATGCAAGATTTCAGGTACGTCTTGCTATTTCTACTTACACTTAGGTCACAGTACACATACATGTACAAGCACATATATACACACCCCTCTGGGTTTTCTTCTATTTTCTTTCTAGTTCTTATTCTTGTTTATTTCCTCTTATCTCCATGGGGAAGTGGAACAGAATTCTTCCTCCGTAAGCCATGCGTGTTGTAAGAGGCGACTTAAATGCCGGGAGCAAGGGGCTAGTAACCTCTTCTCCTGTACATATTACTAAATGTAAAAGGAGAAACTTTCGTTTTTCCTTTTGGGCCTCCCCGCCTTGGTGGGATACAGCCGGTGTGTTGAAAGAAAGGGAAATATATATATTATATATATATATATATATATATATATATATATATATATTAATATATATATATATATAAAATATATATATAATATATATATATATAATATATATATATATATATATATTTTATATGCAACAAGATCACCGTAAACAGCTGATTTCAGAATATGCAAAACAAGCACTGTGAAAGAATAGAGAAATTCCAAGCGCTTTCGAGACTACTCACATTATCAAGGAACAATGAAAGTAAAGCATCAAAGGAAGGTATATAAAGGGTCTAGCCCACACCTCACTATCAGATCCCACAACAAAGAAACACCTGACGTGCAATTCATAAGAAAGGGAACACTGCAGCAGGCCCGCAGGCCCAACTAGACAGATCCTTCACACAACCCACAAACAAACTATTCTACCCAAGAAATAAGAATTTTTAAAATTATTATTTGTCCAATGTATTATTAAATTCTTGCCAAATTCTATTAATTATCATTGTCCTCATCACTTTCGGGCCGTGTGGACATGCTGCGTAGACACTCCTGATTGAGTTCGTTTTTGCGCAGTTTACCTGTTTTCACTTGGACACCAAAATGGCGGAACGTACAGGAAGGAGGATAAATACTGTCTGCATTGAGCTGGTTCGTGGTACATTAAGTGGTGCTACGATAAACGTCCTTCTCCCTGGCATCATAAGGGATGCATATGGTATTCCCAATGAGGAATTGTATGGCATCGCTCTGAATGGTTTGACAAGAATCTTTGTGAAATTTGTACGAGCCGGCTTCTACACGAGAATCATCGAGAATTACCAGGAACAACGTGTGAGTGTGAATTCAGCGGTGGATGTCGTTTTGCATGACGTCTCTAAGTACTTCACATGGGTGAAGGTACGAAATGCACCCTACGAGGCTACGGCGTATGGTCTACAGGAGTTTTTCAGCAGTTATGGGAAAGTGCATTCTGCAACCATGGGAGTGTGGAGGGATGGTCCATATGAAGGGCTGCCGGAGGGTTCTTGCACCCTCAAAATGTCTTTAACAAGGCCTATACCATCCTACCTTACGATGATCGGTTATAGGACACAGTTTTTTGTGTACTATGCTGGTCAGAGGAAAACATGTCATTTGTGTAGCTCCTATGAGCATATGGCAGCCTAGTGTCCTAGGAGGCAGGCTTCTCGAGTTCTGGGGCATCCATTTGTGATTCCGCAGCCGTGCAATTTGGTGCCTAGCTCTGGTGCTTCGGGAGGAGGGAGGACTGACCTCTGGAGCGAGAAGGTTGAAAGGGAGGTGGCGGCGGCGGAGACGTGTGTCACTCTCCCAGGGGCATCGGGGGAGACGTAAGTGACACCTGAGAAGTCTTTAGTTCAGGAAGCTACGACCCAGGATGGTTTATTGGTGGATGTGATCAAGGATTTTTTGGATGGGGAGGAGCCCTGTGCAGAAGGTGTTCTCAGTTTGTGTGAGGACAGAGCACTGGAGGGACAACAAAACGTAGAGAAAGCCTTGAGTAAGAAAAGACTGGAGCATGTGGTGGTCGTGGAGGTACACCAGGAGGATTCGACTGATAGCGATATGTGTTTAAGCGGAAGTTCTAGGAAAAGAACTGCTGTGTCAGAGATAGACGAGGTCATCACCCCAGGGCAGAGGCCGGGGAAGAAGTCATGGGCAGGTGTGGTGGAGCCGATGGCTCATAGTGGTAGAGACGAGCCTGAGTTGCACAGTGGGAGGGGGAGGGGGGAGGTGAATGCACAGGAAAAAATGAGTGACAAAGGTACATGTAATGTGAAAGGTGCAGTGAGTAAATCCCAGCAGCATAGGGGAAAGCCGCTTAAGACAGAGGTCAAGAAAGTTTGGTTGGTGTGGTTTTTATGGAGGTTTGATGTTGACATTTGTTTTTTGCAAGAGCATAATCACAGGGCTGGAAGTGAGTTGAGGTTGAAAGGATATTGGATGTATGTTAGCAGTAGTTTGCAATTGAAAGGTGGGGTAGCAGTAGCAGTAAAGGAGACCAGCCCCTTGCATGTCATGGGTTGGGAAGAGGGGGAAAGGGTAGTGAGGGTGTCATGGTGTCTGGGGTGACAGTCGGGCTAGTTTCGTAGGTGTTTACATGCCAGCAACTAGCAATACCAGGGTAAAAGTAGATTTTGTCAGGGAGGTATTGCTGTATCACTTGAGAGGCATACCTGCTATAACAGTAATAGGAGGTGATTGGAATTGTGTGATACGGAGTGGTGATGTCAAACTGAAAGGGGCGAGCTGTGTGTTGAGTGTTCTGAAGGATGTATTGCCGGATATTGGGGTTGTTGATGTTGTAGGGAGGGGAGGATACCTAGTGGAGCATACGTTCGTCTGTAGGGGATATGAGGCGCGATTGGACAGAATCTATGTTAAGCTGGGTATAGATGTGGTGAGGGCGAGAGCCTTCGATGTGGGGTTTTCTGATCACAGGGCAGTAATTGCAGATCTGATGTGGGATGGAGTAGTGCGTATTTATTCTGGGTACTGGAAATTAAATGTAAGGCTTCTTAAGGAGGAGGGGGAGGGGGCTTTTTTCAGTGATTGGTGATTGCATTTTTGGGAGGCTAGGGATAGGGAGATAGATCTGTTAGATTGGTGGGAAATGCAGGCCAAGTCTGAGATAGCACAATTTTTTAAGGTTAGGAGACAAGAAGAGGTGAGGTGGCGTTTTGGGTTGCAAAAATATCTGGAGGGTCAGTTGCAAGACTGTTATGATGGGGGAGGTGGTAGGAGGAATGACATGGATAGTCTTCGGAGTAGAATAGCTGAATTACACAATGATAGGTTTGATGCAATCAGGGTTAGTGCAGGGTTAGAGGATGTATTGTGGGGTGATAAGCTGTCCGGGTTTGTTTTACGTACATTTCGAGACCGTCCGACGATAACCACCATACTACAATTGGAGACAAGCCCTGGGGTGGGAGGGTACCCAGAGGGTCAGGTCCTATCCAACACGGAAAGTATGACTCTCTATGCTGATAGTTGGTTTATGGAGAAATGGAGTATGAGGGGTGGGGAGGGTTCCTGGGAAGAAATTTTTGGAGGGGGGTTCCATAGTGTTTTAAGTGAGCAAGATAGAGTGGGGTTGGAGGGTAGTATAAGTGAGGCTGAGGAGGAAGAGGCAGTTTTAGGGATGAGTACTGGTAAAACACCGGGGATCGATGGTATACCAAATGATTTTTATAGAGCATATTGGAGGTGTATTAGGCAATACTTTGTTGGGGTATTGAATCATATGTTAACTAGTGGGAAGTTGGCCAAATCACAAAGTACAGGTGTCAAAACAGAGGGGGCGAAGAGTTTTGAGTGCTTATCGAGCAATATCTCTGATGTGCACAGATTGCAAGGTTTTTGTGAAAATCTTAGGAAATAGACTGAAGAAGGTCATGGGGTCGGTGATACATGGGGGATAGTTTGAAATTCTGGGGAGTAGTATGCGGGTAGGTCATGGACGGATTAGGGATTTCCTCGAGGGTAGTAGTAAGGGAGGTATTCTAGGTCTGGATTGGGAGAGAGCTTATGATTACGTGGATAGGGATTTTTTGCTTGAGAGTATGGTGAGAATGATTTTTGGAGGGAGGGTGGTGGGATGAGTGAGGACATTGTATGCTGATGCATCGATGAGAGTACAGGTAAATGGTAGATTGGGTAGTCTTGTAAGCATGGGGAGGGGTTTGAGGCAGGGGTGTCTGCTCTCCCAAATACTCTTTGCATGTATGCAGAATCCTTTCTATGTTCTGGTTGATGGTGGGACGGGAAGGATGGGGGAGAGTGGAGGCTTTTTGGGAATATTGTGGGTTATGTAGATGATACAACTGTTTTACTTAATGAGATAGTAGATTAAAGTAAAGTGGGAAGGGTACTTGAGATTTTTTGGAATGCTACTGGGATGAGAGTTAATAAGCAGAAATCACGGTTGCTGGAGGTAGGCACTTGGGTAGGAGGGACCTTGGGAAAGAAGTTTGGCTGAATAACTGTAGAAAGGCTAAAGATTTGTGGGATTTTTTATTTGGCAGATGCACAGGAGAGCAGGAGGGTTAATTCAGAAATGGTATTGGACAGAGCTTTGAGTAGGCTTAGGAGTTTCCGGGACGGGGACATAACCTTGCATCAAAGGGTTGTGGTGGTAAATACGCTAATTTTTTAGTAAGGTGTGGGGAGTGGCCGAAATTTATCCCTTACGAAGTCAGGATATTATGGAATTACAAAGGAGAGTATTAAGGTATGTGTGGGGTTTTGGGAGGGCATGGTTGGGCAAAGATGTGGTAATGACTGTGGTAAGACAGGGAGGATTGGGATTGATGGCATTAGGATCTAGGGTGAAGGTGCTATATGTTAAGCAGAGGTATATTCGTGCAGGGGGGGAAAGGGGTCTTCGAGTGGGGGAGGTGATGGGGGATGTCCGCAAATGGTGGATATGCTGCAAGACTAGAGAGAGTGTACCTTTCTCAGGGAGTGGATGTGAAATCTTTCAGTACTGTTGAGGCTACAATGTCAGATCATGGGGCAGTGGTGGTGGAGGTTGGGTGGGGGACGCTCGCAGACATATTTAGAAGTTATTGGAAACTTAATATAAGTGTGTTTAATTGATGAGGAGGGGTTAGAGGGGTTTTCAGTCCTATGGAGGGAGCTTAGTGTGGAAGAACAGGGAGTGGATGACATTGTGACATGGTGGGATTGTGTTGCAAAGGAAAGGATTGGAAAGTTTTATGTGAGGGAAGGAAAACATATTAATAATTTAAAATATGGACTGGCTAGCTATTCAGAGGATAGGTTAAGAGGTTGCTATGGGTGGGGGGTGGTTGGGAATAATTTTCCTATGGATGAAATAACTGAAATAAAGGGGATGTTGAGGGGGTTGCAAAATGAAAGGTTTCAAGCTGTAAGGGTGCAGGCAGGGGTGGAAGAAGTGCTTTGGGGCGACAAGCCGTCTGCGTGTGTTTTGCGCCATCAAAAGCAAAGGCAGGCAGTGACGGCGATCCCATGTTTAGAGGTAATGGAGACAGTTGGGAATTATAGAGCAGGGCAGGAGATACGAACCACTAAGGGGATGTGTGCATATGCAGAGGCTTGGTATGAGAAGTACTGGACAAGTGAGGGGGGTGGGTGACGTGGCGTCAGACAAGGTGTGTACGTATGTAACATGTAATTTAGGAAATAGCGATAGAAAGGCTTTAGGTGGGATTATTACGGCAGAGGAAATAGAGAATGCGTTAAGGGGAATGAGGAAGGGGAAAGCTCCGGGTATTGACGGTCTCCCGGTAAAATTTTATTTACAACATTGGACGTTAATACTGGGATTTATAGTTAGGTTATTTAATCGTATGAAGGAGGAGGGTAAGTTGGGGGAGAAGCAGGCTACAGCAGTTGTAGTGTTGGTCCCGATGGGCAAGGGGCAGCCACCCTACGGGAGTACCGAGCCATATCGTTGATGTGTGCAAACTATAAGGTTTTAGCAAAAATTTTAGGTAATAGGTTCAAATGTGTTGTGGGGAGGATGGTGTCAAAATCTCAGTTTGGGTTGCATGGAAAGTCGATGATTGAAGGACATGGGATACTGCGAAGTTTTGTGGAAGCTAAAGGTGGGGGTGGAGGGGCGGCTTTGTTGGTTCTAGATTGGCAGGGAGCATATGATAGAGTGGAAAGGGGAGCTTTGCAGGTTATACTTAGGAGACAGGGTTTTGGGGAGGAAATAGTCGAGTGGGTAAATGCATTGTACAAGGGGGCCAAAATGAGGATACAGATTAATGGGTGTATGAGGAGGGAGATTGCAATGGGTAGAGGCCTTAGACAGGGATGCCCCATGTCCCAAATATTGTTTGCGTGTTTTCAGGACCCCTTTTATAGAATGGTTGACCGTAGCTTATGTACTCCAGGTGAGGGAAGTGTGAGGGGTGGGAGGGCCTGTCCGGGATTAATTGGATATGATGACGACACCACTGTTCTCATTCGTGAAGGGATGTCAATGGGAGTGTTGGACGAGGTTGTGCAATTATTTGGAAGTGCCACGGGAATGCAGGTAAATACTGCGAAGTCAAGGTGCATGGGGTTGGGTTCTTGGGTGGGAGGTGGGGGAGATGTAATGTTGTTAAAGAATGGGCCTTGTCTTTACAGATTTGTGGCATTATTTATAGGGATGACATGGTTGCAGCGCAGGTGGAAAACTCGGTTAGGTTATTGGAAAGGATCATGGGGCGTATAGGTGTTTTGAGACCCCAGCACCTAGATTGCGGGGATCCTAAGACGGGTGTACAAATTTTTGTGGGGTTCACGTTGTGAGTGGTTAAGGAGAGAAGTTGTAATGTTACCTGTAAGTCAGGGTGGGTTGGGGTTGATGGATTTGAGGTGGAGGGCTAAATGTGTGTTTATTAAATTGGAAGTGTTGCATGAGGGTGTGAACGTGGGGCAGTTGGGAAGTATACACGACAGGCTGGGTATGTGGTATCGAGGAATGGAGTTGAGGGAATGCGAAATCGTTTTGAGGGCCGTGATGTTGGTTAGGGAACTGAGAAAAGTTCGCATAAGGGATTTGTGTAGGTTGCTTGTAGGTAGGTGCGTTGTCCCAGTTGAGGGTTTGTACTCCATGTATGCGTGGAGGAGTATTTGGTTTAGATTTAGTAAGATGAAGTTAATCCCTCGGGCGCGTGAGGTGATGTTTCGTTTTCTGCATGGGATCCTTCCGTCTGGAGAGATACTACTAAA